CATAGTTATTCATGCCATTAATCCATGTTTTATTTTCGAATCATATCTTTTTTGCTTCATTTTTTCTGCTACCACTAATACCATTTCTACTTGTGCTACTCTGTCATCTCATTGTGCTGATGTGTTGTGGCAGCTTGATTCGATACATATATATGCTAGGGTGTCTACATTGCATTTGACTGTCTGCTTTGGTGAAATATTTCGTTTATATTCAAAATTTCAACAAACTAAAATTGATTACCAATTATATAATAACTATTTAATTAAAGTCAGATGAATTAAGGAATTATGTATTAAAATAATATTTGTAACGAACTTTTGTTCAAATCACCGCTTCAAGGGGTTCGATCTTATTTTATTTGATATTAGGTATTACGTGAGATGTTTCGACACCGCTTACTTATACCAACAACTGTAAACTGTTGATATGCACGTTTTACAGTGAAGAACCAATTTTATGTTTATTCATCAATATATATAATTCTGAAACCGGTTTGAACCCGGTTGCTATCACGAAATCTAGTTCCAAGGTTTTCTTTTGTCAGTAGCTAGTTTCTCAACATTTATAGTCTGTTCATGGTATTGTTATTATTTATTTATTCTAAGGACTAAACCAATCAATAATTATATCCATAAACAGTAGAATGAAAAGAATACCCAGAAAACATCATGAAGTCCTAAAATAAGTCTCATTATCAACGTTACACAGTATCCTTAGATTACCTAGATATTTCAAGTAAATTTAACTGAACTATAAAAAAAGTATTGATTTTTGCTATTCAATGAATTGTAAACTAATTTTTGTCATAGCACACCAACTATTTGATTATTTATTGACCCCCATACTACTAATTTAATAATTCACTCCTTTTTAATCTGATCAAGGATGAATTCATATCAGTTCTCAGACATTAGATTACACCTATTGACTGTAGAGGATATAGCTTTTCCGAAAATTATTTATCATGTCAAATGTAATTAGTTTTTACTGAACTGTGTCAGAAGTCTAATAGCGAACCTCTATTGGTATAATTTAATCAGAAAGTTTTTAATTCATGTTTATATGTAGATGTAGTAGAGGTGGGCGTTGACCATGTGAGATCATATTAAATCGTGTTGTGTCGATTTGATTTTTAGTACTTTAATGATTAATTTCATATGATACACTTACTAAATAAAGACATAGTATAAAACCCAATGAAAGAGGTTTCTTAGTGTTTTTTATTATTGAAATCTACTTACTATTAAACGGTTCTTAGATTGTAGATTGCATTCTAATATTTCTCATTTGAAATTAGAATATACCGATTTGTTTGTTACTCTAAAAATATTTCATTCAAAATGACAAATGTGGACCACTGGATTCCAACTTAGTTGTTTAAAGATAATGAATATACTCCTCTAAAGACCCGAAACTGTTAGGTTCAATCCATAATGTGGTCTTAAGTTACTCACTGCTAATAATTTCCAAACTAGAATGAAAAAACTTTTCGGTGTACTTTATTTATCAGTTGTCAATACATGATATCCATTTAATTGAATGATTCTCAGAACAATCTCATCTGATTTTTGTTTTGTTATTTGATATTGGAACTGTAATAACGCTTAAGATTTTGCGCAAATCTGTTCGTTAAACTGTACATTAACTTAATCTAATTAAACAACTAAATGACGAAATCTCAGCACGGATTCGAAAAGTTCGTTTGGCTTTTGCCAACTTACGTCACCTATGGCGAAGGCGAGTTATCCGTCATTCAATTAAACGAGTATACTGCGCGGCAGTTCGTTCTGTTTTAATTTACGGCAACGAAACGTGGCCATTAAGAGTAGAAGATACTCTTAAGCTACTAGTATTTGACCACAGATGCCTTAGAAATATTGCTCACATCTGCTGGGATCACCGGGCAAATAATAGTGATGTTAGACTCAGGGTATTAGGGAATGATGGTAAATCAGTTGACGAGGTTGTGAATCATCATCGACTGAGATGGTTAGGCCACGTCACGTATGCCTGAACACCGATTACCATGACATGTAATGGTAACCGGTGTTGGGGATGTTTGGAAGAAAGTTAGGGGCGGCCAAACCAAAACGTGGCGTCAGTGCTTGAAGACACTAACTTCTGATCTGAGCCATGTTGGTGGATGCAGACTACTCGGTTGGGGTCTGCGTGACTATCGTAACCAATGGTTAGAGACTCTTGGTGACATGGCTCAGAATCGATCACAATGACGTATTTGTATACACTCTTTGACTTCCCTTAAACTAAGAGAATAAAATCACTTCATATCTTTCTTTCTACGAACTAATTCTTTCTTCCTGTACTATATCCTTATATGCAATCTTTCTTTTATTTATTACCACCATTGACTTAACCACTCCTATGAATTCGGTGTTCATCTTGTTGTGTTAATGAGGTATGGCAACTTGGACCTATGCACATATGTGCCTGGTCCTACGTTGTAGCTGACTGACTGACTGAAAACGTAATCTGGATCAGTGATCGTTTAGTTTAAATTTAATTAGTACGATTAAATAAACTAGAAGGTTATATTCTGGATTGAGATTTTCTCGCCGAATTTAATCCAATTATTATCATAATGTTATGCTTTCGTTACATGATTAACACTTTCAAAAACATAAGAAAGAATGGTTCAGCGAAGAGTTCTCTTTTTGTCGAATTCATCTACAGAGCTGTACAATCCCATATATATATATACTTATTTTTCAGGATGAAGTATATGTATTTGCGTTTGCACAACTTTAGAAATGTATTCGCCTAAAAGAGAACTCTTCGTTGAACCAATCATTCTTATTTTATGTCTCGATGAGTATATCCCGTTTACTTCCGTATACATCATGCAATAAGTTCTTTGTTGCTCCCAAATGCCCTGGTACGACCGAGGGTGAAGAGAGTGCGCTCTCCCTCTCGAAATGCTCTCACATGGACACACGTATACCACCACTATTAGGAAAGTCATACTATCATCTCTCGTCGGGGGTGTCGTTTACGGAATTGGTAGGAGAGAGAGCTTTCTGTAAAAGTCATCTTTCACTTCATCCGGGCTGCAGTGGGTGGGAGGGTAGGCAGAAACTGCGAGAAGGCAACAACGTGTGTCCTTATCCTTCCGAGTTCTCACAAAGTCATTTAGCCGAACAGCACATAGGTGATTGTTATCAGGGATCCATTCTAATAGTGTTTGTTCCGCCCTCCTACTTAGTGCTATGCCTACACCCACCAGACCACGGGAACTAGCCATCGGATCGCCAGATACACTGAGGGTGTATCTCATCGGGTCTCTGTTTTGAAGAGGTGAGATCAAGTGAATGACCACACTAGGATTCTGTATGTGTGTTTTGGAGACACAGCACACATCAATGGTACGAGATTGTAGGGTTTTAGCCAAGGAGGCCTGCTGTCCGATTTGACATAGGGTGTGTACGTTGAAGGCTCCAATGTGTAGTTTGGAGCGAGGTTTCAGTAGATCTGGAACAGTGTTTTAAGCACTAGGATCGTTGGCCACGGTGACACTTGAGGAGGAAGTCAAAATAGTTGAAAGTCGATATAGGAGGAATAGTAGGAATTGAAGAGAGAAAATGGTTATGAATACAGTGGTCTTGAGTGCTGTTAGAGGTATGAGGGCGGTCATCACTTCCCGGTTTCCCACACTGTGGAAGGGTTTTTCAGGAAGTACCTAAATAGGAAATTGGATTAGAGGTGGTCTTAGGGACCTGAGAGCGTGACCACAATGCCCCTGTTACAACTGACGAAGTCGGTCACACACGACCATTTTGTGAGTAATTTCCGTATTGCTCCGTATTTGTTGAGACCTTACCACCGGAGACGGATATCCGTGGGATAAGGCGAAGTGTGTGTTTTTATGGTTGACCTTTTCTAACCCCACCCCTCTTTGTATGAAAGCAACATCGCCGTTATGCTGATTGGCTAAAGGAAACCCCTTACTGCTATCTCACCTTTGTACAGTCAATAGTACGACTTCGCCTTCGGACCTTGGGTTTGTTGCTTTTAGTCTTACCGCTCTTCAACCGACCTGTCTGACATGGTAGGACCTTGAGAAACGATTGTTCCAGCCATTATAGATCGATTGGTTCATTACGATAGGTAAGTCGGACCACCACATCAAGGTAGCAGCAACGTTCGTCTCTTCATAGTCAGTTTTTACCGTGTGAATACTCATTGTCTTGTCATATATATTTTGTCTAAATTATACTAGTTAATGGATTGATAGTATCCTAGTTTTTGTTATAAAAACACACTAACGTGTATCAATGTTTAACCAACATATGTATTCTCAGTAGTCTTACTCAATGTAATACGTTAGACTAATCTCATAGAAGTTCAATAAAGATAGACGTGTTTCACACTGTTAACTTTAGCCTAAACAGTGTGACATTGGAGGAAATCTATAGGGCGAACAAATCAGAATGTGACACCGATTTGCAAAATCGTTAACGTTTAACTGTTTAAACTTGACTTGAACGTAAATCACACAAATCCACAAAACGGCAAATATTCATTTTCCTACTAATTAGAATTTTTAAAATATTTCATTTTTATTATATGTTACCTTGGTATCGCGTAGTGATTCAATATTAACATATAAAGTGGTCTCATTGTTCATACAATACTATTCTCTTGAACTAATGAAAATTATGAATTGACAATAACAGTGACTTACTTATCTCTGATTTCTAAAGATCTATTTATATATTAGTGTAGTTCTACAGCATCCAAACTTAAGTTTATGCTTCACTGATTTACACCCACTTTGTTTGCCAACATTAACTTCTATTGAATTCCATCTGATCGTTTCCCATCCTTTAATAGTAAACTTAACATTTTACTGCATATTTAATGAATATAGAAGAAATGTAATCAGTCCTACTCCATTACATTTTTTCTCTGATTTAAATAAATTCATATGAACGTTTGTTTTTTATAAAATAAATATTTCCATTTTTGGCATTTTCTTCTATAGAAACCAAGCAAACTGTCAAACAGTCAGTAGAAAAATTACTTGGTGAAGAAAACAGTGATGAATTTTATGACGCCATGTCTAATTTGGATGTGACTGAACAATATAATGATTCACTTATTTCTACAATCAATCAATCTATAGTACAAATGCCTAGACCATTACATTATAATTCATCATCATTGCATAATAGTGACGTAACTCAAGTGTCATCAGCAAGTTTAAGAAGTTTGGTGAATGTTGAAGAAACATCAGTTTCAGGCAGTGATTTAGATTTACCAAATGGATACACTAACAGAACTAATGTTTTTACATCTATGCCGGTAAGTTAAGGCGTATTTTAGCCATTTAAAAAAATGGGTGAGTCTATAACAAATCAGTCAATTCAAGTGTGAACAGTCAAACATGACAACCCAACTTTGGACCCAGGAAGACCCTGGGGTTAAGACTAAGATAGTCAGGAAAATGCCATACTTGAGCATAAGTATAAATGAATAGCTAAAATTATAAATAAAAATTTAATTCTAATCCCATCTAAACCTAAAATGAGTTCAATCTACACATGAATGGAGTGAGACTAATAAGGTTGCTTGCAAGTTGAAACAAAGAATTATCATCACAAAAGATGTAAATTCGTTATTCGTTCCCCCCTTTCTTCTTCCTCTCTCACACACAAACTATAGTCCACTAAAGTTCCCAACCACTTATTCTGACTGCCTATTACAAACCCCTGCATGTCGTTTAGATCAATAAGTAGTCAATAAAGTCATGATTTATTTATAATGCCTTTAGGTCTTTATGAGCTATATACGTTCGGCTACATCAAATGTAACCAAGCTTCTAAAAATTCCTTTTTTAATATGTTGTTTGATTGTCAAGGTTAATTCAATTACATTTACTCTTAGTGAAAAGTGAAACTTATCTTTGGAATTCAGGACAAACTTCATAGATCTAAAATCTATGTTTATGTTGGCCTTTATTCATTGATAGTATTAAAAGATGCCATACAAAAGCTGAAGCGAATAAACATAATCAAAACACCTAATGCAACCCAATCCTAAGGGATTTTTTATTCGCAAAGCCCGGAGCTAAATGATCCCCAAACTACTGTGAGAAGGCATCAAACAAAATTGTGTTATACCAATCATTGTAGCCCACTGAATAGAGGTCAGACAACTTTGATTACGTTGAGACCTCAATTAAACTATATTCTCTGTACAACTGGTCCCCCTCTCTGATAAGTCTTGCAAATTGAACGCTATATTCGTTTCCTAGGCTATTCTGTAACCCCCAAGCTAGAACTATACAGCGATCTGAACAAGGTATGCGAGAAGTACTTTACTCCGAAGTTCGTTTTAACATAGGAAATATAGGGTTTTTATAATATTTTTAAATATCCTTGGGTTGCTCGAAGATTCTGGAATGCTACTAGACATAGTAGCAATATAGCAATCAGCCAATCAGAACCTCCACATGTGACGTTTCACTTCCTTGATATTTTTGGCTAAAACTTCAAGTGAACGCTGATTGGATGAAACGCTTCTTAGTGTTTCCTGGCCCTTGCTTGTCTTTTGCAAGAAATTTTCTGGATCACTCCAACACTAATATTCAAAGCTATTTATATCATCGTTTTGCTTTTTTCTTCCCTACCCAACAGTCTGATGGATATCCAAACACGTACAACAAAAACTCTACTACTGACCAGCATAATAACACATTGAAATATGGAAAAATTCGTAAACGTCGAAATACCATACCTGTTTCACCAAAAATTGCATTAAATTTATGGGGTATAATTAAAAATGCTATCGGTAAAGATCTGGCAAAAATTCCTATTCCTGTGAGCGCTTGTATTTTGTGTCATTTATATTTTACTTAATAATATGATAATTAAAGTACCTCTCCTGTTACGTATAATTAATTAAAACAATTCATGATCAACACTGTCGAATAGCTGTATGAAATATGCCTGTGTATTGTTAAATACTTCTATCTCTATAAAATGAGGTTCAACAAGTTAATTTGATAAACCATGCATTGTTTCGTTACATCCTGTTAGAATTAGGTCAGGGTCAAGGTTAACTATCAACATATTTCAGACTCATCTGTAATCCTTCATTAATGAACTTTTTATTTCACTTGGTCCGTAGTTATAATTTAACGTTTGCGAAATATGAACTATTCACACTTTAAATACGCTGGTACTTGAAATTTTGTACCTTTAGTTACTTAAGTACACAGAGAAACTCAGTGGATTAAAGTGACAAATATTCTAAGTACTAATTCTAAGATTAAACTTATACAAATAAACAGAATGTTGTTTTTGTGGATATTGTAGTAATTTTTAATAGTTGAATTCATGAGTCGATTAAAGCTAGACCATCGTGGAAAACCTGGAGGCCATCTGTTAAAAACTGGGAAACCTTTTAGAGAACTTTACGGAAATAAAAACAAATATAAAGTTATTTAAGGAAGTTATCGCAGTTTCTATTTAAATAAATATGGTAGTAACGTTTTGATAATCCACTTAGTATTAATGTGAATTGGAAAATGTTAATGTTTTGGTCAATCCATAGCTCATGTGATTGCCACAAATTAACTTCGTATCAAATTACTCATCGTTCAATGATAGTTGTATATCTTTATATGTTTATTTCAGTATATATATATATATATATATATATATATATATATATATATATATATATATTATATATATTCTAAAATAAACATTTAGAGAGATTCCTATTCAAAGTCTTACACAATCTTAATATTTCAGGTAAATTTCAACGAACCTTTGTCATTCCTTCAACGAGCTGTTGAAGATTTCACATATTCTAGTCTATTAGATTATGCTTCACAGACCAGAGATCCAGTGGAACAAATGGCTTATGTTGTAGCATTTTCAGTTAGTTGTTATAGTTCGACTGCTTATCGTGTAGGAAAACCATTTAATTCATTACTCGGCGAAACTTATGAATGTGATCGTACAGATGATATGGGTTGGCGTTGTATTTCAGAACAGGTATGAAAATGCATTTTTTAAAATCTGCTTTCATATATATAAATGTTTATCCCTCGAATAAGGGATATTATCCAGTATTTGTATTTTGTATTTTGCTATGTGACCTTTCTTACATGTACTTCTTGAAGCCTCCTTTTTCAGTATATAGCGTAGCGATTACCAAATTTTCTGTATTCAATTATCATCATGAAAATTTGCCATTAATTAGTGGTAAATAATACATGATTGTTCTTTATTCGTCTACATTTAAATCTTTACCATTGTTAATTGATTTCTTCTCTGTACAATTTTATCTTTTTTGTATGAAACTAGGTTATTTGTGTCTCTCATTTGGTCTTGGGATTATCCATCCTTTTCTGTGAATCAAATTTCATATTAATTCCAAACCATTCGTGTGCTAGGTCTGATAATCTTATTACTTATGTTGGGATTGATTATCTGTTGTGGTTACATTAAATTTCACTGACTATTTCTGTAATGCCTCAAGATCTTGGCCCTAGTTTCTTCCATAGGTATTTCGACATTCGCCCTCTAAAATCGTAACGGTATTTACCTTGGAATTTTTAATGTTACCTCAAAAATCCTGACATAATACTTGTTGTAACTTGTGACCTGTGTGCCCTGTTAATATATACGTAATGCTACCGCCAATTAGAGAGCAGTGAATTATCGATCGGACCAATGACGCATAAAACCCGTGCGAGCATTCTAGAGTCCTTATCAGTCCTGTTTCCTGCCTAGACCAGCCAGTTAAGTCTAGAACACCAATCTCAGCCTCTGGAATATGAATCGTTTATTTCAAAAATACTGAATTTATAAGCAAAGATGATTTGTGGCCAGCAGTGGAATCCAGGACGCGCCTTTCGTCCTATTTGGGACTCGTCAGCTGGATGTATCTGCACCAAACAGACCACATCGTACCATAAAATAGAAAATAACATTTGCACGAAATTTAGCCGAAAGTGGCTGTGAATATGGGAGACAGTAATTGATATACAGGGCATAACTCAAGTATGGTAAATCGTATAATAATAGTTCATAGGTCAAAATAAAGCTCATAATAAGAGGGACATGAATATGAATAGTTTAGTTATTTAACAATTATATGATAAAAATATACGCACAGTATTGGCCCATAAATGGATCCCAAAAGTTACCATTCATTATGTTTATCGGGACATAACAATACTACATTGGTAACGCTGAAAATATAATGACTCGTGTGATTACTTCTCGAAAACTAACTTTTGTACAGAAAATCAATTTGTGTACACGAGGTCTATTGCTTCATTTTTGAGAAAATTCTCATTGTTAAAGCAAAATAATACTGTTAAACTATCTGCAAAGTCTAATCGGTTGCAGTCCTGAATGTCAGCAAATAGGATTTACTAATCCTTACTTAAACATTCATATCCATCAAACAAGTTAGTGTCAGCAGTATTCCAGTGAATAAGATGTTATAATTTTGAAGCCAAAAATACTAGGTTTAAGTGTCAATGTGAACACTATCACTCGTGCAGTTAAATCCAGCTGAGGAGTCCTAAATAGAAACGCGCCTCTTGAATCCTACTATATAACGAATATTCTCTTAAACGTAATATATATAATATAAACCGGGTTTTTTCATGCAATTAAAATATACTAAAATGGATAGTAAAAAAATATATTGGATTTCGAAATGCTGCAATTTTTGCTGTTTCTATCTTTTACCATTTAAACAAATGTAAATTAACTCTTAATTAATTAATTCACATTCACCAATCCCTCTCTCTTTCTTCATCACTACACGTGAAATATAAATTGTGTAGATGTATGCATTTACCAAATAATGTCTGGTATTTTTCATATATATTTAGTTCATTGTTTTCAAAATTTACCATTTTCGTTATAACAAAATAAAACAATAATCAAAGTCAGTATTCATGCCTGTTTGTGTGTGTGTGTGTGTGTGTATACGCGCGTGTGTTGCCGACACCATCGTTGTTGGTATTCTTATTGTTGCTGCTCCCGCTGTAATTAAACCTTGTCAACGCCTTATTTTGGCGTGGTTCTTTATTTACTTGAAACATACAAAACTACTTATTATTTATTTAAAACATTTTTTTTAAAAAAGATACATTCTATTTTTATTATTTACTTTATTGATGAAGTTTTTAGTCGTTATGAGTTTTAATCGATATTTTTCTTAGAAAGAAAAAAGCGTTTTCTTTGTAAGTATTGTTTTGTTTAACAATACTCATCAAATATGTACCATCGTATTTAGGATTTAAGATTCATTATTATCTCTAGTGGTTTATAAAATAATAGATAATATTTGTAGATCATTATACAAATATTGAAAAGGTGTTATTGCTTTCTGAGCTGTATGGTTTTGTTGTGAAGCTGTTATTACCATTCTGAACAATGTCATCAGCACAAATTTCATAGCGAAGTGAGCTATTGGAATTACTACACAGCTCATTCTTTCAAATTGTGTGGAATTTGGTTGGTTGTTGTGTAGACTAGACAATTAGTGTCAGTTGTATCGTCGACCAATTTGACAATCATTATCATAATATTGTTTAACCGGTTTTAAGCACTTGATTTTCTACTACTGTTTGATTTGTGTAATGGATTCCGAAGTGTTTTATTTGGTTTAAGGAGGATTGTAGTAATAATATTGATAGACTGCATACAGCAATTTTTGTTTATAAACTTATACTTCTCTTAGTAATCGACTTTGAGTATTCCACATGTTCCTTATATATCTATCTTTTCTGGTGTACATTTCGCTAAACTAATTTTGTTCTTTGAGACACTTTAGTTTCACAATAATCCCTTTTTTGCTTGATTCTCTCATCAGGATATTTGTTCGTTTATCTTTTATTTTGGATCATTTAAGGTTAGTCATCATCCACCTGGTTGCAGTCAGTATTGTGAATCATTACGACATAAATGGAAAGTTTGGCAAGATTATTTTTTGTCAACAAAATTTCGTGGCAAATATTTATCTATCAGTCCTAAAGGTAATTTTTCACATTTCTATATTTTCTTGTTTATTTTTGAGACTGATAAGCTCATTGATAATTGTTCATCAACATAATGATTTCCTACAGTTATTCTCTATTGATAAGACTTGAATAATACACAGTTTTTGGAATATCAATTTCTAATGGTTTGTTTCATGTTGTCAACTGCCGTCAAACGCCCTGGTACGGCCGAGAGTGGGGAGGGTCCGCTTTTCCTCTCGAAATGCTCTCACATGGACACACCTATATAGCCTCTGCCAGGGAAGTCCTACTCACTGCTTTCTCGTGGCGGCGGTGTTGTTTACGAAATTGAGAGGACGAAAAGCGAATGTCCGGAGCTTTAACCGGGTTGGTGGACATAGGCTCCAGGGTTCTTAGGGAACAAATGGCGTATGAACCAATTTTTGGTCACCGGCTATTATGGGACTGCATTCCCTTACGATGCTCCTCCACTGCCTTGTGGATCAGACCTTCAGGTCGAAGACTCCGGGTGTCGCCCCTTAAGAAAACCATTTACCTTGATTTGGTCACCCGAGCAGTATCACAGTCCTCACACAAATCAAATGAGATTTTTGTGGCGCATATGTATTGGTATCTCCTTGTACCAATATATATGTGTTCAAATAAATTAATAAATGTTGTCAACTGTCAGTTTTAACTATTTCAGAGATCATATTTGATAGCTTTTATGGCCAACAGTCACAGACCTCCTGGATCCATGTTGTATACTTAGTGTTTACAAGCTGGACAGAAAACATATACCAGCTTTAAATTTTCAGATTGTACTAGGCCTACTTGGAATAAACGGTATTACTACGTCTTACACAGCGTGTTTAGAAAAAATGCCTTACTCAAAAACTTTGGTTTGATCATTTGGAGATCTATATTAACAAGAATGGTTGGTTGACTTATGTTTGTATAAAAATTACGAATATTATTTTCAGAATGATATTAGTAATGATAGTTGGTATCTGATATTAACACATGATTGAATACACGGGTCTTTATATTTGTTACTTGTCGACCGTTTTTTAGTCATTGTAAGTTTTTCACCATTCATCGTTGAATGAATATTAAATATCCTTTCTCCCTCCGTAAACATTCACAGATAAAAAGTGATTCTTACTAGGCATTTAGTATTTTAAATAGAGCAAGAACAAAGATTGGTGCAGAATAATATGAATTCATTTTATTTCGTTAGGTTCTCATCAGCTGCTTACAACCTAAATTATTTAAAATTCAACATTAATACAGATATTGACATATTTATATATAAGAGTGTGATTAAGGATCAATACATGTGTATGATGATGTAGCGAATATTCAGATAGAGTTAATGAGCTCATAAAATGTTGGATTCGAATAAATAAATAAAGTTAGAGAGAGAAAGTTCCAGAACATTGAAATAGTGATTAGAACTCATGAAAATAGATTAATGGTAATAAAGAAAATATGAATTGAAATCAATCAGTTATGTATGATGTAATTTATATTTCAGAAAGAGTTGCAATAATGACGTAATAAATAAATAAATAGGAGCAAATTAATTATTACGTCATTATTGCAACTCTTTCTGAAATATAAATTACATCATACATAACTGATTGATTTCAATTCATATTTTCTTTATTACCATTAATCTATTTTCATGAGTTCTAATCACTATTTCAATGTTCTGGAACTTTCTCTCTCTAACTTTATTTATTTATTCGAATCCAACATTTTATGAGCTCATTAACTCTATCTGAATATTCGCTACATCATCATACACATGTATTGATCCTTAATCACACTCTTATATATAAATATGTCAATATCTGTATTAATGTTGAATTTTCAAATAATTTAGGTTGTAAGCAGCTGATGAGAACCTAACGAAATAAAATGAATTCATATTATTCTGCACCAATCTTTGTTCTTGCTCTATTTAAGATAATAAAGGGAACTATGTGTATGACATTTAGTATTTCTTCAATAACTTCATCGTTTCCTTTTTTTCATCCCACGTATTTAATTTTTCTTCATTCTTCGCTTTTCGGATCTTAACAATCTAAACTCACAACAAACACCCATAACGTATGTAGAGGGAACAGGTAAAGAAAAAAATAGCACATACTAGTTTTTTTCTCGTCACTTTTTCCTCTCTTGTTGTTATTATATATTTTTGGTGTGTGCACTTTCAATCTGTTTGTATAGTTGCTCATGCACTGTTTATTTTGTGTTCTGTTCATTTGCAAACATTTTTTACTCGCTAATACTTTTAAGACTCAATTATAGTGATTAAGTGCTCTTCAAACATAGATAAGACTGGTCAAATTCTCAACTGAGATTGTTTTTTTCCGGCGGTAGTGATGGCGTTCCTAGACCTCAAATAGGACGAGACAGTAAATCTTGGTTTACTAGAAAGTTAGCGATTTACAAACCTGATATCCTTCAATCGTTTATAACATTTTATTACGTTATTTTCTGTTAATAATTTATGTATAAACATGTTATTTAGTTAGATATTAAATTTCTATTTTTCTGACTAGTGTTCTTGTATTCGATCTAAGTTTATTTACGAGGTTTGTGTCAATATTCAGTCTCATAAGCAGCCATTACTCAATCACCTCGTATTATTACACCATGTTATCTACCGGTATGCATTATTCTTCAAATCATAGTTCATAATATAGAGTTTACCCGGAGAGCGATACGACTGAACACGTCTAATTTCAAGGAGCGCAAGATCATTCAGTAATCCCAATTTTCAAGTCAATGTCCTACTACTCTGTAAATGTGTTTAGCTACGATTAATTACTTAATCGACAACGCTAGATTTTAGACTCATGATTTGAAATATTAGGAAGAAGTTACTTTGACATGTATCACACTTCTTTATGATCTGGGAAATCTTTTTACTGTTCGAAACACGTTCCTTTCTCTATAAGAATAGTTATTCCCTAAATATCTCGAATAAGCCTAAACGAATGTCAGTTCTGTCTTCATGTTATGCTTCAAGTAATCAACTAATTGCATACTTTCAACCAATGTTCCAGATTTCCATTATCTAACTACCATGATTTTACTTAGTTTTTCTCATTTAGTCATATTCATGATTTATCTGGCTCTCAAAAATATGGACAGAATTCTCATTCCTAATTTCAAAAATTTTATTACTTATTACTTAAAGTTTAATCAGTTCCATTCATTTTTTCCGTATTTTTATACAACCTATTTGTTGTTCCTGATGCGGAGTCAAATCATCATTTACTTAACATCTATCTACCCCTCATATTAGTTCATTTTTTACACGCGCGGTTATCTCTAATGCCAGTATCTTTCAAGTATATAGACCGTTTATTAAAACTTTTTTTGGACCTCACTTGTACATGCTCTTTTCTTTTCAATAATGACTATCATACTATTTTTTATATGCATAAAATTATAAAATGTCACTACTGATATGTAAAATATGGTAAACATCTGCCACTTTCAGACAACAAATTCCCATTCTCAATAGATTTATTATATAGCAGACCGATATTGACTATAATATAAACATGGAAATCAGAGTGAACACGCACAAACACACGCAGCACTGGATAGCCAATCAGACTGTTCTACACAGATAATTCTTTATTCCTTGTGTTTGACTAAATTGTTTATTCATGCTGTATATTTTATAACTTCTAAAATACTTTGATTTATTTTTGTGTAAGTTGTCGTAACTGAATATACTGTTTTCCTTATTGGAAATTTTTATGCAACTGGTTAATATTCAGTCTTATCCACATTTTGATAGTTCAGCATTTCTTATTTTGTATTTTTCTATTCTACGTTCTGACTTATTCCCTTAAAGTTCCCATTCATAATATGTCAGAATAAACTCTTTCCTACATTCACAACTACTATCTTTTTGAATGTAAAGAAAGCAACCTCAACGTATTTTGTCAGGTATATCATGAGTACAAGTTGCTTTGCTATGAAACACCATCTATCCATCCAGTTATTTGAACTACTTTGAAAATGTTTCCTAAATCAGTGCTCCCTTCAGCTAATTAAAATATTTCCGTTTTTTAGTGACTGGTTTTCTTAGTTTAAATCACGAAATAATTTTATCTAGACTACCAATAATAAGCTGGAAGCATTGGCTGGCCTCAGTAATGCGCATCCACGACCTCGCAAAGAGGAATCAAACCCAGGACCTTCGGTCTAATATACTCTCGCTTAACCTCCAGACCACTGAACCGGGTTCGTATGTTTAATTGTATTTCTGTCAAATATTGGGTATCCCGAAATACTTCGATTTTTTGACTAAACTTCGTGGGCATTGATTTAAAAATATATCTACGTTGTGCATGTATATTTGATTTTAATTGTTAAATATTTGTTTCGCTCATGTGTATATTTTCAATGATATGTATTACAGTTATTAAAATGTGATCTCATTCATTTGTTCCTTTTATCGGAAAGAAAATAATTTACTTAAGATCGATTTCACGCTTAATTTTATTTTCCAGTTTCACTTAACCTGGTTATCATTTGACTAAAGCTTGAGAAAAATCTAGTATTTACTCAGTTTATTATTTTAAAGGTAGGCCAGGAATGTTGCTGTGGTCTACATAACATGCTTATCTGTCGTGGCTAATCCTCAACATGACAATAAATAACCGCAAAGATACCTGTGTAATTTTAACTAAATGTAATGTCCTTCAAACTCGATCAATATTTACGATGACTTTTACCCTGTTGCTAGTGTCTAGCACAGTAGGTGCCTTATGCTCAACGATTTTCTTCATTGTCCATGTTCTCTATGCCTAGTGTTTACTGTCCCTGATACTACTACTTTGGTATTCCTCTTGATAATTCCGTCTTGCTGTGCACCGATACACATGTGTGCTAGGTTCCATATTGCTTGTGATAGACCGACTGATTTTAGTTTTGGCAGCTGGGTAGTATCAACAAATTGTATCAGTCTAATATTAGAAACACTATATATTTATTTGAATTTCGATCGGGGAAATGGCACCAATATAAACGGTTAATTATTTTCTAAATATATCGGTCTCTAATTGTTGTTTCATTGTTTACAAGAAGAACACTAAATTCATTTTTCATGGAGTTTTGTTCTCTGAGCTGGATGGTTTAGTCGTGGTCCAGCTCAGAGAACAAAACTCCATCAAAATCATCCACCTGAGCTATAAATCTTCACCACCAAATTCATAGAAGTAGTTACTTCAATGGTAGTAATATATAAAAGAACGATTTTGTATAAGGATATAGTACAGGAAGAAACAATTAGAAGGGAGGGTATAATGTATTTTTAATCTCACAATTTAAGGGAAGTTAAAGAGTGTATACGCATACGCCATTGTGATCGATTCTGAGCCATGTCACCCAGAGTCTTCAACCATTGGTTACGATAGTCGCGCGGACCTCAATCAAGTAGTTTTCATCTATCAACATGGCTCAGACCAGAAGACCTCATCAACTGATTTAGCATTAATCCCTAATACCCTCTGTCTAACCTCACTATTACTTACTCGGTGATCCCAGCAGATGCGATCAATATTTCTAGGATATCCGTGATCAAATACTAGTAAATTACGAATATATATATATATATAGTGTGTATGAGATAGAAGAACTAGGTCATCTGCAAAGTCCAAATCATCTAGTTGCATCGAACCAGTCCATTGTATTCCGTGTTTTCCCTCAGATGTCGAGGTCTTCATAATCCAGTCGAGCACCAGAAGAAAGAGGAAGGGGAAGAGTAAGCAGCTTTATCTGACTCCGGTCTTTACTCTTAATGTGTCTGTCAGCTGTCCTCCATGCACGACTTTGCAGTGTAGTCCGTCGTATGACTTCCGTATGATGTTGACAATCTTCTCAGGTTCTTCATAGTGCCGGGGAAATTTTCATAGGGTCCTCCTATACACGCTGTCGAATACTTTCTCATAGTCAAGGATGATGACGTATACTGACGAGTTCCATTCAATTGATTGTCCATCGATAATACGTAGTCTTGCGATCTGGTTTGCATACTACCGATCCTTTCGGAATACGGTCTGTCAATCTCAAATTTGGACATCCACCAGACCATTTGTTCGACTCAGCATTACTCTATTGAAAACTTTTCTTGTTGAAAGCAATCTAGAATTAGATGAGTTTGCCAGTATCTCGGAAGTAGGCTATATTTAATTTTTGTAGTTCTGTTTCCCTAGTTGTCCACTGGCCCTAGCTTCAGTCTCATCTTGGCAACCGTCAGGTAGTGATCTGAAGCATTTCAGCTCCTCTTCCGGTTCTTACATCTTTCATTGACCTTCTGAATCTTTTGCTGACGCAAATATGATCTATATGGTTCTCTGTAGTATAATCCGTTGAGATCCATGTAGCTTTGTGTATGCGATAATGCGGGAATATCGTGCTTCCTATAACCATTTTGCTGAATGCGCATAAGTTTTCAAATCTCTCCTTATCCACGTTCTTTTCTACCAGTTCATGTTCTTTCCTTGGCACTTCCATACGATCTATTGCAGCCGCTTATCTTTTTTATTGCTATCATCGGTGAGTGCACATAACTGGATAATATTCATTGTGTTCCCCCCCTCTTGTTTTGAAGAACGCTTTGATGGTTCTGTATCGATGAGACTCTCATCCTATAAGTGCACGTTGTGCTTCTTTGGATAGTATCAGCAACTTTCTGAGTGTACGAAGCAGTTTCTTCGTGACTAGAATACAGAAGCTTCTCTTCCGAATTCATTATTTTCTGTCGACTTTGGGTCTTATGGGTTTCTCTTATGCATACAACCTCCAAGTTGTATCTGCCGATTTCCATTGCTATTTAATTAGTCCTACTAGTCTCCTACATTGCCTGGATATCCCACGTATCTATATTGATTTTTGTCATAGTTGTCAGAAGGGACATCGGCCTCGTGAATTCCGAAGGATCTTGGGTTTCAAAATGAGGCGTTATGATTTTTCTGAATGAGTATCCTTCAACTCGAAGAGCATAGTTTAAATTGTGTAATCTGCTTAGCGTTTTTTTAGCAAGCTCGTTTTGTACGAGATGGTGTTGATGACCCAATGTTCAACCCTCCTTATTTACTCG